CAACGAGATTTGGGAATTTAGTGTGGTTCGACAATAGTACAGGGACAATGTGGGACGATTATCTCCGGATTAGGGTTAATCTCTCCATCAAGAACCCTTTGAAGAAGAAACTGAAGTTAAATATTGGAGGGGAATTGGTGGAGTATGGGGATTAGGGTTAACTTCCAATGTTTTGCCATTCGTGTGGGAGGATTGGGCATGCTAAGCTCAAATGTCCTAAACCATCAGGGCTGGGGGGGCGATCCCTTTGGCCTGGACATGAGAACAGGGCCACCTGGGCCTAGAACTTGGAAGTCGACCATGGCAAAGAAAGAAGATGCTGAAATCTGGGAGATGCTTAAAAAGAAATTTGAGCTTGAATGCACAGGCTCTAATTTTGACAGCAAAGACATGAGCAAGGGGCAGGCAAAGGACAACTATGACAGTAGCTTAGCGAGGAAAGAAGATACTGCCATGGAGGTGGAGCAGACAGCCACCAGAATTGACAAGGAGGTACAAGACAAGGTACATACAGAAAAGGAAAATCAGACTGAACAGGATGCTCTAGCTAAGGAGCAAAGGATAGAGGAAAATCATGGGAAAGTGGGAGCTCTACAGAAATTTACCATGAGAAGCGAGGCAGAACTCAATATAAAGAGGACTATCCCAAATGTGTGGAGGAGGCAAGAACAGAAAAAAGTAAGGCTGCCTGGAGGAATTCAGGTTACTCCGCAGAAGAGAAGTAAAGACATGCAGGAGGGAGAGAAGGCAATGGAAGTGGATGAACCAGTGAATCCTAAGAAAGCAAAAGTGTTAAACTTCACAAGGGAGGTGGAGGCAACAAAGAGTGGGTCTCAACAAAAGGTGGATGGCGACAAGGCGGACTCTGTCGAGGAACAGAGCCGCCGAGCCCAATGAACGTGCTAAGTTACAATTGTCGAGGGTTGGGGAACCCCTCGGCAATTAAGAAAGTGAAGTCTTTACTTCAAAAACAAAATCCTCACATAGTCTTCTTAATGGAGACAAAAAGAATGCACCATGAGTGGAAGGAGACGATGGTCAAACTGGGTTGGAGCAATGGCTTTGGAGTAGGTTCGAATGGGAGATCAGGAGGGCTAATGGTGTTGTGGCAACCAGAGGTCCACTTAGAGATCAAAGGTTCATCAGATAACCACATAGACATGAAAATCAAGGAAGGGGGGAAGGAGTGGAGACTAACAGGGCTGTATGGATGGCCTGAGCAGAGGAATAAGCATCGAACCTGGAACCTAATTACACATCTTAGGGACTTGGTGGATCTACCTTGGCTGATGACAGGGGATTTTAACCTTGTCCAATGCTACTCAGAGAAAAATGGGAAATTCGAAGCTGCAGAGAAAGAGATGGAGGGGTTTAATAGAGCCCTGGAAGAGTGCAGGTTAGAAGACTTGGGTTTTTATGGAAGAAGGTTTACATGGGATAATAATCATAAGGATGACACTTTCTTGGAGGAAAGATTAGACCGCATGGTGGCCACAGAAGAGTGGGTGAATATGTATCCAGAAGCGAGGGTTTATCATCTGAATCGATGTGGTTCAGACCACAACCCCCTGTTTTTGGTTACCCAACTAAATGAGCCTGAAATACAGTGGGGAACCTCCTTTCGATATGAGGCATACTGGCAAAATCATCAGGAGATCAAAAGGGTGGTCGAGGAGGGATGGAAAAAAGCAAGAAATGGATCAGTAATGGATAGAATAAGAGATTGCGAGGGTTCTCTAAAGAAATGGAGCCAAACCACTTTTGGTAGCCTAAGATACAGGAAAAGGAAAATAGAGAGAATTCTTGGCCGCATTGAAAAGATGAATAAGACTGCTGCCATAGTTCAACAGAGAGATGCATTGGAGAAAGAGTTGGAGGACATCCTGGCAATTGAAGAGTTGAAGTGGAAGCAGAGATCAAGGGCAGAATGGCTAAAAGAGGGGGACAAGAACACGAAGTTCTTCCACCACAGGGCTTCTGAGAGAAGAAAAAGGAATACAATTAGGAAGCTAAAGGATGGAACTGGGGAAATGTTTGAAGGACAGGAAAGGGTAGCTGCCTGTCTGACATCCTTCTATAAGAGTTTGTTCTCGACTGAGAACAGGGTGCAAGGGACCAGTATTGTTGATTCTGTGCAAAGAAAGGTGACTGAGGAAATGAATGAGATGCTAGTGCAACCTTTCACAAGGGAAGAAATCTGGGCAGCCCTAAAGCAAATGGGGCCATTGAAAGCACCTGGTGAGGATGGGATGCCTGCCCTGTTCTTTCAAAAGAACTGGGAGATTGTGGGTGATGAAGTAACAAAGGATCTACAAGGCTATCTAGAGACAGGTAGATTCCATGAAGAGCTAAATCGAACCCTGATTACTCTGATCCCAAAGAAGAAGAACCCAACTACCCCTGCAGACTATAGACCTATCAGCTTGTGTAGAGTCTTATACAAGATTCTCTCAAAAGTTTTGGCAAACAGATTAAAGGTGATACTCCCTGATATCATTACACCTAACCAAAGTGCATTTGTCCCGGGGAGATTGATTACAGATAACATTCTAGTTGCGTTTGAATGTTTCCATTCAATGCAACAGAAAAAGAAAGGGAGAAGAGGCTTGTTGGCAGCTAAGTTAGATATCACAAAAGCTTATGACAGGGTGGAATGGGGTTTTTTGGAGGCTATGATGAGGAAACTTGGATTCAATGACCGGTGGATCCAACTAGTGATGGAGTGTGTATCTACAGTTTCCTATAGTATCCTGGTGAATGGGCACAAAACTGAGTGGTTTAAACCTACGAGAGGGCTGAGGCAGGGTGATCCTATCTCCCCATACCTCTTCCTATTGGTGGCGGAGGGATTATCTGGCTTACTTACAAGGGCAGAGGGAGACAGGAGGATTACAGGGTTGAAAGTTAAAGGAGGAGCTCCCACAATCTCTCATCTCCTGTTTGCGGATGACAGCATCCTTTTTATTAATGCAACTAAGCAGGAATGTGAGCAATTGAAGAGCATTCTGACCCTCTATGAACAAGAGTCTGGCCAGCAAGTAAACTTGATGAAATCAGAATTATCTTTTAGCCCAAATGTAGAGATGGATAAAAGACAAGAATTGGCGGATGTGCTAGGGATGAGGTGTGTGCCTTTTCATGAAAAATACCTAGGCCTTCCAACAAGAGTAGGAAGGGGAAAGAAGGCTGTGTTTGGCTATCTAGTGGATAGAGTTCGTAGCAAGGTAAAACATTGGAAGAGTAAGATGCTATCTATTGCAGGGAAAGAAGTGCTTATCAAATCGGTGGCTCAATCCCAAATGACCTACGCAATGTCGATATTCTTAATTCCTACAGGGGTGATACAGGAGATTCAAAGACTTATCACCAATTTCTGGTGGGGACAGCAGCAGGAAGAGAAAAAGACACATTGGCTAAGATGGGAGGAGGTTAGTAGACCAAAATCTCAAGGAGGTCTGGGGTTCAGGGACCTAAAATGCTTTAACATGGCACTCCTAGGGAAACAGTTGTGGAGGTTGATGAAGGAACCTGCTTCACTGGTGGCCAGGGTAATGAAAGCTAAGTATTACCCCTCAAGGGATATACTAGAGGCTGAGAAGGGTGCATGCTCAAGCTTTGTATGGAAGGGCCTACTGGAGGCCAAGAACCTGATCAAGAAGGGTGCTAGATGGAGGGTCGGCAATGGCAACAGTATCGACATTTGGCTGGACAAGTGGCTACCTAACAGCAAGACTCATAAGGTGCAGTCCCCTGTCTCAAGAGTGGGTAGTACTACCTCAGTAGCGGAATTATTGGATTTGGAAAGCAGAAGTTGGAATCAAAACCTGCTACAAGCACACTTCTGCCCCTCGGATCGCAAAGAAATTCTCAAAATTCCTATCCCCCGTCAACCCTGTATGGATGAGAAGGTGTGGAGTCTAGAAATTACAGGGGAATATACGGTCAAATCGGCCTACAGGCTCTGGAAGAACAAAGATGAGGAGGAACTGGGAGAACTGTACACACCAGTAAATTGGCAGAGGCTATGGAAATTAGATATACCCCCTAAGGTCAAGCTGTTCTCGTGGAGATGGATTCGTGACATTCTACCGACAGGAAAAAGAATTCTGGATAGAACTCAACAAGGAACAGGAGGGTGCCCATTCTGCGATTTGCCAGAAACCCAAAAACACATCTTTCAAGATTGTGCGTGGGTGAGGAGGGTAACCAGACCTACTGACATGCATCTACTGTTTGAGAGAGGGGAAGATCTTACCTGTGAGGAGTGGTTTTGTAGTCTGCAGGAGACGGAAGACGACGCTCAGATCGGGAGATTTCTCGTCTCTCTCTGGTTCATCTGGGACCAAAGAAACAGTCAAGTCTGGAACAAGCGAAAATTGGAGGAATGGGAAATAATCTCGAAAGCCATGGCATGGTTGAGTGAATACCTGGAATTTCAGGAGGAAGTGAAGGTGGCGGAGCAGGGAAATGAGGAATGGAGGCTGTCCCAGTCGACGGATTACACGATCTCAGTGGATGCGGGGTGTTTGCCAGATAAGGGAACAGGCTTCGGGGTGGTTGTGCGGAGGAAAGATGGCGGGTTTGTGGCAGCGGCGGTGAGAAGAACTCGGAGGCAGTGGGAGGTGGCGGAGGCGGAGGCCATGGCGATTCTGTTTGGGATGGAAATTGGTCGCCGTCTCCAAATGCGATCCATTTCCCTTCAATCTGATTGTCAACGAGTGGTGAGGATGATAGCAGGCCAAACGACATCGTCTCTGGAGGTAGGCCAGATAGTGAAAGAGGTGAGAGAGATGGGCTCAGGTTTTGACAAAATCGAGTGGGCTTTTGTAAAACGGGCCCATAACAGATCAGCTCACTGTATGGCCCATATTGCATGCAATTGGGAGGAGGATGAGTGTTGGGTGGATAGTCCACCAATTTTCTTGGCTACTCTTCTTAGAGAAGAGTCTATGTGCTTGAACATTTCTCATTAATAATATTTAGCAGGAAGTATTTCTCAAAAAATAGAGTAAACACTATCTTAAAAGAGATACGTATCTGATCCAATCTTTTTTTTTTTTTTTACAAAATGATCCAATCTTGATTAGACTTTTGAAAATAAGCAAAAAGAAAGCGGAATGGGATGAACACAACAAGAGAAGAGTCAAGACAAACATCAATAAGAACACGAGATCATCATCAAGATTCAGGACGAAAAAAACAACCAAACTACAACTTGATGTTTCCCGCCTTCCAATTCTTCTATTTACAGCCACTCATCTCAAAGAGTGGTTCACAATGCATAAACGTGGCCTTCCTGCAAACTTGTTGACCCCTTCACTTCTCTCGGGCTCTATTATTTTCTTCCTCCTCCCCACTCAAGGAAATTTGGGGATAGGAACAACGAGACAGAAAAGCTTTTCTTCTGTTTCTTATCTCCTCTTTTTCAGAATTGTGTCTTCTTCATGTGACCATTTTGATTGATGGTCTCTCAAAACAAACAGTGATAAGATGAACTCCCCCTCATCATCACTATCATGCAGATGCCACCAACCAGCAAACTCACCTAACCAAAACAGGTCAAGGGTCCTTTCTTTTTTGCACATTTGTGTCAAGAAATAATGGAGCTTCTGCTAAGAATTATTTGTTGGGGGCAAAATCCTGCATCAGATATGCTAATGGTCATTGAATCATCATTAGCAATGCGGGACCCTTGTGATCAAGATGAATAATTGGAGCCATTATTGATGTTGTGTGGAGGTATTGCTGAGATGCCTTGTCTACAGAGTTCAGCTAGAACACTATCAGTGGAAGGAGGGTTTAGCCCTAAGGGCAGTGGCAGCCATGGCTTGCTGATGGCTTCTTTCACTACTTTGTCTATCACTTCTTCTGCCTGCAAACACAACACATGACAGAAAAGAACAAAACTTTAGATGTTTATATCATGTTCCTGTTTTGCAATACAAAGAGTATCCGTGGCCTTTTCCTGCTTAGGAAACTCCATGTGGAATTATTCAAAGATAAAGAGAGCTTTCGTTGTCATTGGGCCAGAGGTTATGCGTGTGTGTGACTCATTGTGGTGTTCTATTAATTTGCAGAAGTACAGTTTTAACACAAGTGATGAAATATTCTCTCTATTTTGGTTAAAATTGAGATGGAAAACCCCTGCTGAACAAAAATATCCACGAGGGTAAGGGTAAAGGTCCTACTTCCTAGCATGAAAATGAAAGGATTTTTGTTCATACTATAGATGACTCACAAATACTTCAACATAGACTGAATATGCATGGAACATAGTATGATCCACTTGATTCAAAGGAACACTAAAGTACTTGAAAAGAGTATTTACCGGCTGTAGGTCAAAAGTATTCTGCAGCATACTGCAGTGATGGTTATCAGCAATGCTGGTGGCACCATAGAAATTTGGTTGATTCTGCATAATCCAATCGTCAGAGCTCGGTACTGCAACAAAGTCAAATATACTACGCATACATGCATTTTGCTTGTGCAGCAAAAACTTCCGCAATGTACTTACTTGAGGCAAGCAATTATAAGGCAACTGTGGTGGTGGCTGTGGCATCACAGGGCAACCCCATGCCTCTGCATGCATCTGCAAACAACGTACTACCCGAAATCAAAACTTGCTGCAGTTCTGAACTTAACTATAAATGGTACATGAGATCATTGTAAAGATGGGGACCAGTTACAACAAAAAGGAGCAAGTGAAGTTCTCTTTTTTACCGCTGGGTAAGGTTTCCAATGCCAACTTTCTGCAGGTGATGCTGCCCATGGTAAATAGCCAGGATGTCCCCACATCTGGACTTCAGGTGGGTGAATACCAGCTGCTGCTGTTGCTCCCCACATGGGGTAGACAGAGGAGTTTGGTGGGAAAGGATGATTAGAGTGTTGATGATAAGGAGGGGGGTAAGCCATGATGGGTTTATGGGTGGGATAGTAGCTCCGTTTCGTTTGATCTTTCTGTTGTTGCGGCCACCTCCGGTCATCTGATTTCGGTAGAATGTGCCGCTTATGCATTCGATATTTCTGCTCAAGAAAAAAAGAAAACCTGCAGTTAGATCTGACCCATGCTTAGTAAGCACGTTGTGAATAGTTCAGAAAATCATGGTCTCGCAGCTGGCTGAACTATGTTCTAACAAACATGTTTCTGTACTATGATTTTTAACAAACATGTCCAAGCATTATGTGCAATGCAGACTACCCAGTTTTAGTCCCTCCATGAATAATTTCATGGAAACCATTTACAGTAGGAATCAGCCAACCCATGCTGAGTAAACAAGTGTTCTGGATGACTCCAATGCCATTTATGTCGATAAGTATCTTAAATCCCACAAGGTGTCCTGCCATTTGGGACGAGATTAATCAATAGGGTCAAATTGAAGGAGGTGAAACATGGTTTCCAGCAGCATAATATGAACCAACAAGGACGTCCTTACTATGCGGATAGATCCCCATTAGTAACATAGTTCTAGAGATTTGTTGAAACGCAGTACTTGTACAGAAAGGACAAACAACAGACCTGAAGATGGCTTGCTACGTTATGCCTAGTCAAGCCCTCAACTTTCATCAGCTCCAGTATTTTTGACGGAATGGATTGATCTACACCTAGTTGCTCCACAGCCTGCACAAACTTTTTGTGCAGCTCCGGCGTCCAGTCTACCTGAAACCCACGAAAAGCATGTCTAAAGTAAGCAACAAAGAGAGATGAACCCCTTACACTGCCCTCATAGTTATTCTAGGACACCTGAGCTGAGATACATTAAAATCATTCTAAAAAACAAGTTTAAAATGAATGTGCACGATGAGGGAAATGTTCTCTAAAGATAATAGACGAAAATGGACGATTATCTATTGACTGAGTGGTTAATGTGCTATGAGGAAACAATGAACTTCAACTAGCATAAATCAAAGAAATGTACCACATCAATATAACATATAGTAAACTACATTCATGTTTATCAATAATACAGGTTTTTCATCATAAGGCCAATATTGAAAATCATTAATTCGATGATTCTGCACTGAATTCATGCGCTCACATAAGTAGTTAATTATTAAACTATGCAAGTTTACCTTCATTTTCTTTCGACTAGCTTTAGTTATTCCTGAAGTTTTAAGACTAGATGCTTTGGATCCGTCTTGAACACCATCAGACTTCTTGTGATCCATGCTATTTTGGGCAAGAGGACTCGTGGGATTGTCGGGCCTGGTACCACTTGACAAGTCATCCTCTTCTTTGATTTTTCCATCAGTTATGTTCTCAGTATCCACCTGCATACTCAATTCAGCCATTGCAACTGAAGTTTCGACAAATTTAGACTCCTCCTCTTGCTCAGCAGTTTCTTTCTCTGTTGAGAAATTAGTATGATCTTGACAATCTCCATCGTCCAACAACCGTCCGCCTTGTTTCAGCTGAGGAGTCGAAGGAGCCGGGTACACATCACTACCACCATTGTTGTCATCCGTGGGGGACACATTATTCTCGGTTTCTGCATCATTATCCGATTTCCCATTACCTGCCTCCTCAATCTCTACTTTGAGCTGCAACTTGGAAACCACTGAATCTTTCATGGATTTCAACGATTCAGATTGGACAGTTGCTGTCCCTGCATTAAAGGCCTGCTCATGACTAATCAGAAAGAAGTAAAGACCTCAGAGAGATGTATTCCACCAGAGACCAACACCATGTCCATAATTAGATCAAACCAGAATGTACCTTATGAACAACGTGCTGCCATATGTTCCGTAATTTGTCTTCAGAGAGTGGTTTATGGAGGAACTCCATTGCGCCTAGCTGAGAATACGTTGTGAAATTAGCATATGGTACAATGAAAAAGTATTTGTTTCAGTAACTTAAACAGCAAGAGAACTAAATCGATCAGTTTCTCTACAATATGACAAAGATTACATCATACATTGATATACAAATATATAAAAAAACAACGGGGTTGAATCTTACCGCGATGCATTTCATCATTGTGCTAAGGCAATTGACATTGGAAGTCACTGAAATGGTGAACATGCATGTGTTAGCAAATGAAAATTATTATTTTTTTACTGAAGAAAGGAAGTCATAAGGAGATTGTGAAACTTACTAACGGTAGGCAAATCCTTAGCACTTTCGAGGAATTTAAAACTCCCATTGCCATTGCCTACCGTCACCTGTGTTCATGACTCCAACTATAAGTATCAGAACTTAAGCCATTGCAACAAACGAGAGAAGTAGTTTCCTCATTAAACTATGGTGTAACTTGGGAAAGCAACTAAGAGAGGCCATTCTGGTCACTAGTATGTAATCAAACTAATCCAAGTACAAAGATTTGAATCAATATCAATGTTGTCAAAGCACTGAAATGATCATAAACTAAGTATTTTACCTCAACAATAGCAACATGGAAGCTTTCCGGTTTGTCTGAGAATGCTGATAAGGCTTCCTCTTCATTGCAGAAAGTAGCAACTGAATAAACAGTAAGATAAAAAGTTAGCCACTTAAAGAAGAAAAGAAGAGAATAACAAAAAGAGTGGGGGTGAAAAAGCCAATAAGTGTAGGAAAAATTAAAGAGGGGAATGTCAAACTAGGCCAAGGGGAAAAAAGTTTCTTCTGAGGAAAAAGATCAAAATATTACTACTAAGGGAGCAATGAATTGCATGGAATTAATAGAAGCAATCGTTACCCCACATTTAAGAAGCTAAAATTAGGAGATCACAATAGTAGGAAGGAATCAATGAAGTCCATCTAATGGAGCACTTGAGGATCCCCTTTTTGGAAAGAAAAAGCGAACTAGGGACCAAATAGGGGAACCAAAGCTAGCTAAGGTAAATTCAACACCAAAAGTTACTACTTGAGGGAATATTGGAATCTGATCTGCAAAATGGGAATATGACCCAAAGAGTGGCAATCAAAGGGATCTGTTCTAACCAGCATAGTCCATTGCCTCCAGCTTTGATCTTATCTCATCAGCTGAACTGATGTCTTCATCCAGAAGAAGGACCTTAAGACCCTTTGGGAAGTCCTTCCATTCTGACAAATCATTAGCAGTGCAAACCATAGCTGATTTGGCATTGTTTCTTCAAGCTGCCCACAAGTTCTTGATCTCAAGGATTATCAACATCCAAATCAAACCCTCTGCACAAATTAAGAGACGGGAAAATTTCTTCCACATCAGAAATCATCACAAGTTTGATCTGTGCATTCATTTTAACTTTAAGCCAAGTTGAACAACCAACTGTAATAATGATAAAGGGAAAGGTAAAAAAATACACCATCATTGCAGTAATCAATCATTGTAATCAAATAACAGATACAAACAGAACGGAAAAATCCAGATTTCATCAGAAATTTTGCAGAGGGCAACAAAATGGCAGTGATGCAAGTAATTTTTTGTTCGTTTGCCGACATCGTAAGAGGGAACAGAATTATGAATTGAATTATTGATTCTGCATGGTTTGAACAAAACCCAATTTCAAGGAAACCATTCAAAGAAGGTGGGGAATGTTGGAGCACCATGTTTGGCTAAGCATCAGCTGATGAAGGATATAAGGATATCCTTTTAGCTCTTTGTAAAGATCTCATCTCAGCTCGCCATTTCCACAAACAACTAGCTGACAACAAGAGAAGGGTAGTAGGAAGATCTCCCAACAGGAGAAAGACAAAGAAAGGGGAAGACTTGCAGCTCAGTATTAAATTCTGCTTAAGGAACAAGGAAAAGCCAAAAACTTTCTCCCCTAATCATTTGAATAAACAAGGGAAAAAGTGATAACTAGAGCAATGGAAGCAAGAGCATCATGCATGCATAAGTTCAAACTTTGCACAAAGAAGCATAAGTAAACTAAATAGATAAATAAAGAATGCATAGCAGAAGGAATAATAAAGAAATAATACTTACTACTTCTTCCAGATATGCAGAGCTTCTTCTTCCTTTTCCCTTATTTATTCGGTTTGCTGATTCAATTCTAGCTTCTGGGTTTGGCTCTGTATAGACCCACTAGAAAAGGGGAGGAAGAAAGGTGGAGACTTTTGCAATGGCGGGGGAGAAGGAGGTTTAAGGGAATGGGCTTTTGCCTTTGTAATATAGAGAGGAGGAAGGAAGAGGGAAGCACTGAGAGGGACTGAGCTCTCTCTCTCTCTCTCTCTCTCTCACTCTCTCTCTCTCCTCTGTTTAAAGTGTTGGTGAGTAAGACCACAGAATATGCAAAACCAGAAGTGTGAAAATGGGCCTAGTACTTTCAAAAAGAAGAAAATGCTCCAGCTCATCTTTTGATTGCATTATCAATTTGGTCATCTAACTTGATCATGTGTGATATTGGACACTAGATTGATTGACTTTTGAAACGATGATGAGGGAGAATTTACTTTTAAACATATCACATTGGAGAAGGGAATTGATAAAGGTCGTCCTTAAAATTATTATTGATCGTCCTAAAAAATAACAAAGTTACACTTTTAACCTTTTCGCATTTTTTAGCAAACAAACATCACTTTAAGTAAAAAAAAATTGAAAAACACTTAATGTCCCACACTCTCGAATTCATCGTTGACATTCTTGAGTCGTAATCGTTGAGAATACGTCCGAATCATGAGTAGCGACTCCGACAAGGTAAAAATCTGATTTTTTTTTTCAAAAAAAATTCCAAAACCCCTCAACCGAAGCCAATTTTCGGTTGTACCATGGCTCAACCTAAGGCAATTTTCGGTTGCACCATGGCACAACCGAATCTCCGAAGATGATTTTCGGTTGGTCCATGGTACAACCGAAAATTGTCTTAGGTTGAGCCATGGTACAACCAAAAATTGGCTTCGGTTGAGGGGTTTTGGGTTTTTTTGGATTGGTTTGGTTTATATCAATAATTTTCTATTCTTTTACTACGATTTATGGTTCGGTCCATAAGATAATTTGTTAGATTTTGGTTTATATTTTTTTAGATTTATGGAAGGGGGAAGGGTTGTTTGTTTTGTGTTTGATTTTGAAATTCAAAATGGGCAATTTGGTAAATTACATATTAAGTTAGGACGATGGTTAGTAATTTTTAGGACGATCTTTAACCATTCAGTTGGAGAAGGACTATTTTACATTCCACGAAAAAACCTATGCTACCATTACATTACAATACCGTGATATAATAGTTATCGATATTTTCTTTTACAATAAAATAGAAATTGTACGAGTTTTGAAATGAACTCTTATCAATAAATTGTAGAAAATTCATGGTGAAATTCATCATTTTATACTTCTATTGCAATAACATTGTATATATTTACAATGTATACAATATAATCGTTTAGATTATATATAGAAAAATGGTATTTCCTATGGTAACTTGAAGTAAGGTAACTTATTTTTTTTACCTGCTATGGTAGGTTTCACAGGTCTCATTACGTAAAATACAATAGGTATTACGTAATGGTTATGTAACATATGGTAATCTTACGTATCAGTTGTAAAAGATTATTACGGAAGCCTTACATAATAATAAAATGTGTCTTTACGTAATGAGTATTAACCTCGAGTTACGTAAAATGCTAAGTCATTAAGGAAGCCTTACGTAACACTACTGATTTAACTGTTACGTAAGAAATAAATGTCGTTCCGTAACTTTTACGTAATGGAAGGTCTTTTTACGTAATGAGTATTAACTTCGCGTTACGTAAAGTGCTAAGTCATTACGGAAGCCTTACGTAACGCTTCCAATTTAACTGTTACGTAAGAAATAACTATCGTTACGTAACCTTTACGTAATGAATGTGTATTTTACGTAACAGTTGTAAAATATTTTTACGAAAGCCTTACGTAATAGAAGGTCTCTTTACGTAATGAGCATTAACGTCGTGTTACGTAAAGATCTAAGTTATTACCAAGATTGTCAAACCGGTTTATACCATTGTGCCGGTTTGGCAAGTGGAATGGTACGACCGGTGGTATAACCAGTTTGTGCCGGTTCATGTCGGTCTAAAAAAATGTGAAAACAATTAATATCCAATGTATTTAATCATATATAAAACATATTTGTGGACAATTTAGTTACAATCCAACAAATATCATCAACTTTTAACTATTACATTCATAAAATGAATAATAAATTATTATTTTTATTCATTAAATTCATTAAAATGATGTCATATTACTTAGAATGCGTAAGTCGATCATACCGGTCATACCGGTAGTGTCATGGCGGTTTCATGACCGGCACAGGTTGAAGCAGGTTCAACCGGGTGGCATGCCACCGACTTGACAACCATGGTTATTACGGAAGCCTTACGTAACACTTCTAATTCAATAAAAATTAAAAAAAATAATAAAATATGGAAAACAACTAAATTTGACATGGAAAGAAAAAAAATAAGAATGGTAAGTTGTGTAGTGGTGACCGGCAACCCCTGTTGCCATTTATTTTCTTACTTTTTTTTATTTTTTATTTCTTTAGTCAATGGTTTAAATGAAGTTTGATAGATTGGAGGCAATTAAATGGTGTCAAGGTCTCGGCCTCCACCAAGTTTGTTTTGAAGGTGACGCGAAGGTGCTTATTGATAAGGTTAATGCCAAAAATGCGCAGGATAGTCGTGTTGGGATTATTATCTAGGAGATCCTCCATTTGATGGCGCAGAGTAGTGAATTTAGCATTCGATTCGTCGGTCAGAATAGCAATGGGGTAGCCCACTCAGTGGCTAGGAAGGCCCTTTTCTTTGTCTCCGACTATGTGTCGATTGTATAATTTTCGTGTTTGGGTTGGTTTCAGGGTGTAGTTCAATATCTTCTTATCAATTAATACAATTATCTTTTGTTTAAAAAAAAATCTTTGCGTTAGACAAATGCCCGCAATTGAAATTTTAAAAATCAGTGATTTGACCTTTTTAAGTATAATTTTAGACTAGTATATGGGAAATAGTTAACAACGCTTTTGTCTTGGAAACCCTAAAACTTGGATTGTCTCAATGTAGTTTTCAGCTTATATAGCTGTTTACATTAGTACAAGTGAGGTGCAGAAATGTAAAAGAAGACAAGGTTGCTTCAACCGCAAGTACAACCCGAAACGGGTAAAATGATGAAAAATAGAAGATCAGGGACTACAAGTGTAAATGTCTATCCCGTCTTGTTTTTCCCTGAAACAATGTCGCTCCAGGTCCTGCGCGGTCTTGGTTGACTTAGCGAAACGCTGTCGTCGGGATGCTGGCTTTTGCCCATTGGCTGAACGTCGTCGTCTGGAAGGCGGGATTGAGAAGAATTCAAATGTGCTGAATTCTTCTCTGATAGCCCCCTGCAAGCTGGTGGGCAGAGCTTATGGACACCAAGCTTGGAGAGGAGATGATGAAAAATGGCCGGGGAGAGAGCTTTGGTGAAGAGGTCGGCCAATTGGTGAACAGTGGAGACGTGGAGTACCTTGATTGTGCCATCGTGAAGCTTCTCGCGGACGAAGTGACAGTCCAGCTCGATGTGTTTCGTCCGTTCGTGGAACGTGGGGTTCTCGGCGATGTAGATGGCCGATTGGTTGTCGCAGTACAGCGTGGCAGCTTGAGGATGTTCAATTTTGAAGTCGTGAAGCAGGTAGAGCAGCCATCGCACTTCACATGTGGTGTATGCAAGGACGCGGTACTCTGCTTCACAAGAGGAGCGGGATATGGTGGTCTGCTTCTTGCATTTCCAGGACACCAGAGAGTTGCCTAAGTAGACACAGAATCCGGTGACAGAGCGGCGTGTGTCGACGCAGGCAGCCCAATCGGAGTCACTGAAGGCCTTCAATTGCAGAGTGGAGGAGGAAGGGAAGAAGAGGCCAGTGGAAGGAGCTGACTTGAGGTACCTCAAAATTCTTGTAACAGCTCTGAAATGTGAATGACTAGGGTTAGACATGTATTGGCTTACTTGTTGGGTTGCGAAACTGATGTCAGGCCTCGTCGTTGTGAGGTAGATGAGTTTCCCAACGAGTCTTCTGTAGTGTTCTGGATCATGGTAGGGATCATCATGTTGAGCTGTCAAGTGTGTCTTGTAATCAATCGGAGTAGTGACTGGTTTGGTGTTGATCATTGATGCATCATCCAGAATCTCCAATGTGTATTTTCGTTGAGAAATATGAATCCCAGAAGTAGTTCTTGAGACTTCAATCCCCAAAAAAAATTCAAGTCACCTAAGTCTTTGATACTGAATTCCTGATGGAGATAATCCTTGATGTTGATTATCTCAATCATGTCATTGCCTCCAATGACGAGGTCATCAACATAGATTAGAATGCATGTGTAGGAGGTTGATGTTGATTTGTAGAACATTGAGTGATCCACCTTGCTAGATATGTAGCCTTGAGAATGTAGTTTTTCAGCAAGCTTTGAAAACCATTGTCTCGATGCTTGTTTGAGACCATAGAGGGACTTCTTTAGGCGACAGGCAGGGTTCTTGATTCATGGAGGTGGTTTGTATCCATCTGGGAGCTTCATGTAGACACATTCCTCCAAATCCCCATGGAGGAATGCATTGTTGATGTCCAACGGATGTATATGCCAGTTGTGGATAGATGCCAGAGCTAGGAAGAGTCTAATTGTAGTCATTTTCACAACAGGGGCAAATGTATCTTGGTAGTCAATGCCTTCTTGTTGTGTGTAGCCCTTAGCAACCAGTTTTGCCTTCCTTCTTTCTAGGCTACCATCAGATAGAAATTTGAACTTGTATATCCATTTGTTGCCAATGAGTTTGACATTTGGGGGAGCCTCCACAATGTCCCAAGTCTGGTTCTTGTCAAGGGCTGTAAATTCATCCTGCATTGCAGCATTCCAGAATGGAGACAAGATGGCCTCCTTGTAGGATTCTGGTTCTTTGTAGAAAGATATGCTCAATGCAAAGTGTCTGTCAGTAGGAGACAAGTGATCATATTGAATAACCTTACTGAGTGGATAAGTGATACCTGGACATTGTTGTTGAGTAGAATGACTGGTGGAAGGAATTTAAGCAGGTTGCAATGGTATAGTTGGAGGTGAGATGGTGGTTTAGGAGTTCTGGTTGATTTCCTAGTGGGAGGAATAGATGGTGGTGGGGGTGGTGGTGGGGAAGGTGAGGTGGGAGGAGAAGGTTGGGATGGGGTAGGGTTGTGTGGATCAGTGTCTGTGTCACTGTCAGTATCAAAATGGATGGTATTTAAGTCAGTGAGGGTGTGAGA